TTCGTATTATTATTCATGTTAAAGGGAATGACATTCGCTTTGTTTCAGCATATTGTGTAATATCTTTTCAATATTTAAGAATAACGGTATTTGGCCTACACCGTCAGTAGTGTAATTTCTATTTGTAGTTCCGGTTCGAATATGCTAGATTAAACCGTTCGTATTCTATTAACCAGTCACATTCAGCATAAGCATTATTACTCACGATTTAAAAAGTTGACGGTAGATCGATAGAAGATATATTTCCTGTTTGATCTAGTCCATCATGGTAGTTTAGCAGTCGAGGAGGTCATGTTTTACCTCTGAACTCTCTCGCAGAATTTCACGCAGCATGCGTAGCACAAGAAAGAGAAGCGTACGAAGCGCGAGAGCTACCTTCTAACGCCTATTTCATACCGTAGCGTCCTTCACTGTCGCCGTGAAAGTTTCTCTAGTGCATATTCTGCCGTCGATCATTCTGTCTTGCTTATGACTCGACCAGACAGTTATTGTGCAGGTGAAGTATTCAGCCGTTTTCCGCTTACAGGCCAGACAGTTTACATTGGGCCTAGGTTGTTCGAGAATATGATCTGAGTTCCTGAAGGCACTGTTGGACACTGGTCTACCGCTTACCGAACTCTGGCCCACTCATGGCAGCAATGAAGACGTGCCCGGTTGGTAAAACCGTCCTTCGTCGACCACACGCACACGATGATGAAAACGCGTCTGCTGACGACGATGGTGAAGATGACAACAACAAAGTTCATCGGCGATTTTTCAACCAGATGGTAACCAGACAACGCGGTGAACGGAGTAAAACCGGGCACAGATATGTACTCCTCATTTGGCAGTTATGCGGTGCGTTTATAGATTAAAAAATGCTGTTTGCTTGGCAAAAGAACTGAAGATCTGAAGAATTTCGGAGAAGGAAGATAAAGATTATTAACTAGTACACCAGTTTTAAGCAAACAGTGAAGATGCGAGAGATAGGGGTTCCATTTCACACCTTCGGAAGCCTCAAAGAATGAGAGGGGGGGTCGAACAGCATGGTATTTGTGAAGTAGCCTGAGTTGTTTTTCTTTAGCAAGATTATGCAACGGATGTCGTTGCACTATTGTGTCAATGCAGTCCTCGTTGCGTTGTACTCGACGGTGAGGAACGCTTCACGGAACGGTGAGGTGAGGAACGGAACACAATGGACGAAGACGATCCACAGAGGGAGGAGATGTTCCATTACACCTTCTAGGAGCTGATTTAAGGTAAACATGTTATCCATTGTGCTGTAGTTCCTTCAGATTCGTGTCGGTTCTTTTGAAGGCTGTTCTTTCAGACTTGTTGGCAGTCTGTTGTAGATGGTCTTAGTGAACGGCTGTTCTTCGGACATTCCTTCTCGCTCTTCTCGAGCAGCACCATTGCACGAAGGTTCAATAAACTAAAACAGAATTTTGAGTGGTCCCCTAAGCGACTTTATATGAGGGGATGGTGACTAAAAACCAGGCCCCTCTTAGGTGCAGGCTTGAATTTGATACTCTGCAGGCTTTTAAAAATTATTTAATCGTGATGACCTGCTCCAATGGACCTTCTAAGTTTCTAGAAGCCAGTGATCGGTACATTTTCGCTGTGTAAATCCGGTATCACCTATTGAAATGCAACATTTACCAGCGAAATCAGAAAGCTGCCATTCTTTGCAGTTATTCCCGATGATCGGGATTATATTCAATCTTGAAAAATGAAATAAAATATGACCCCATGTTCTGGGGTAGCTTCCACCAGTGGGGGCTTTCAACACTGCACGTAAATATCACATTTCAAATATTGATACCGGAAAACAGTATAAAGTATTTATGCGGCGAAAACCTACCGTGTAAAGAAAGAAAAATA